TTGAAGTTTTTTTGCTTTCCAGTCAATTTTGATCTTCAACGATTTAAACGGAATGTCAATCGTTATCCTTTGTCAGGGATTTATAAAGCCCATTGTAAATAGTGACACGCTATACGGTGAGAAGGGATACTTTATGAAAATGATATCCGTGTTAGACGATTTTAGAAAGGACAAAATTATTGAAATAATAAATGAAACATACGACAGTGGTGAAATACCGGAATACCTCAATAGAAATGTCTTATAGCGATGCCAAAGAAGCCAGAAGAATAGTTTAGAGCAGAGGTCGGTAACTCATTCAACCCCGCGGGCCGGATCGTGTTATAATGACGGGTCGCGGGCCGGACGAAGGCCATTAATGAAAAATTAAGGAAAATTACATATACGAACCCCTGTCAACCTAAATATTTAAAACCATAATGAAAAATAAACATTGAGAAATCAGAAAAAACAAAAGAAAATCTAAAATTAAAAAACACCTAACAAAAATTACTTTTCCTCAAGGAACGTCAAAATACTTCAAATTGAAAAAAATCAACTGAAGTGAAATGGATGAAATTATGACGTGTAGGTTTGAAACTGTTATTGAAAAATGTTCTACAAACGATCCACACACACACACACATCAAACAAAAACGAAGCACATATACTCATACATACGAGTACAAATAGTTGCAAACATATACACTTACGTACGTACACATGCGGTATCATCCACATTCATGAGGCATGTATGTATAATGCGCGTATCTTTAACTGTCTTTAGATTTCTGCTACCTCATGTCAGTCCCCTCCCTGGCCTCTTTCACTTTATCGTTCCTTTCACTTCTGTTATCTTTTAATGTAGCCAAGGGTCATAACAAATATGTATCCATTATTTGACATTAAACGTAGGCAACGCAACTTGGTAAAATAAGTCTCATGAACGATAACTGGCAGATAGTCTAATATTTTTAGTGCACTGAGATGTGTAGACATTCTATGGAAAATGACATATAACAAATTTCATTTGAAGGTCGTCTCTAATGTTAAAAATAGAGTCATTGGTAATCAGGCTCGCGGGCCGGTCAAAATGCCTTCGTTGCCGACCCTTGGTTTAGAGAGTAAGTTCAAACATTCCCACCGGCTTGAGTGTCCCACACGGCAGTAGTCATACCAGTGAGAATTTTTCAACTTTCTCTTTTGTGAAAAAATAAAAGCGCTATCTGCAAAATTCGGGATTTTCAAACTTATTCTTTTGTTACTAATGAGGGTGCAATCTGTAATAATAATGCCGGTGTGGATTTTAAGCACGATCGTCATGCCGTTGATGTTTATTCGATTTTCTCTTTGTACCAAATAAAAGTGCCGTTTGGAAAAGTATTGCCGCTGAAGGTTATTCAAATTTTCTATATGGTACAAAATAAATGCGTCGTCTAGAATAGTGACAATGATGAGGTTTATTCAAACTTTCTTTTTGTACCAAATACAAGTGCCGTCTGGAATAGTCATACCGGTGAGAGTTATTCGAACATTCGCTTTTGTACGAAATACAAGTGCCGTCTGAAATAGTTATGTCGCTGAGGCTAATTTGAATGTTCGCTTTTGTATCAGATACAAGTGCCGTCTAGAATAGTCATGCCGCTGAGGGTTATTTGAACATTTACTTTTGTACCAAATACAAGTGCTGTCTGGAATAGTCATGCCGGTGAGGGTTATTTGAACATTCACTTTTGTACCAAATACAAGTGCCTTTCAAATAGTCATGCCGCTGAGGCTTATTCGAATGTTCGCTTTTGTATCAAATACAAGTGCCGTCTAGAATAGTCATTCCGATGAGGCTTATTTGAATATTTACTTTTGTACCAAATACAAGTGAGGTCTGGAATAGTTATGCCGCTGAGGGTTATTTGAGCATTTACTTTTGTACCAAATACAAGTGCCTTTGAAATAGTCATGCCGCTGAGGCTTATTCGAATGTTCGCTTTTGTATCAAATACAAGTGCCGTCTAGAATAGTCATTCCGATGAGGCTTATTTGAATATTTACTTTTGTACCAAATAGAAGTGAGGTCTGGAATAGTCATGCCGCTGAGGGTTATTTGAGCATTTACTTTTGTACCAAATACAAGTGCCTTTGAAATAGTCATGCCGCTGAGGCTTATTCGAATGTTCGCTTTTGTATCAAATACAAGTGCCGTCTAGAATAGTCATGCCGCTGAGGGTTATTTGAGCATTTACTTTTGTACCAAATACAAGTGCCGTCTGAAATAGTCATGCCGCTGAGGCTTATTCGAAAATTCGCTTTTGTACCAAATACTTGTGCTGTCTGGAATAGATTTGCTGCTGGGGGTTATTCCAAAAATAGAACCTCTGTTTCCAATAATTATGTCACTGCGAGATATATGAACTTTCTCATTTATACCAAATACACGTGCCGCCTGGAATAGTCATGCTGTTGACGTTTATTCGAAAAATCACATTTGTACCAAATACAAGTGCTACTTTAAATAGTCATGCCGCTGATGGTTATTAGAAAGGGATTTGAAATAGTTTTTACTGCCAAGGGTTGTACTTTCTCTTTTGTCCAAGTGGGATCTGGAATAGTCATGCCGCTGAGGATTATTCACATTTTCACTTTTGTACCAAATACATGTGCAGTGTGAAATAAGTTTGCTACTGAGGGCTATTCTAATTTTCTCTTTAGTACCAAACGCACGTGCCGTATGGGAAAATTTTGCCGCTGATGGTAGCTCGAACTTACTCTTTTGTACCAAATACACGTGCCGGCTGGAATTGTCATGCCGCTGACAGTTCTTCGAACCTTTTAATTTGTACCATTTGTAAGTGCCGTCTGGAATAGTCATGCCGGTGTAAGTTATTCGAACTTACTCTTTTGTACTAAATACACGTGCCGGCTGAAATAGTCATGCAGCCGAATGTTATTCGAACTTTTATTTTGTGCCTAATACACGTGCCGACTGGAAGAGTATGCTGCTGAGGATTATACGAACTTTTTCTTTTGTACGAAATACAAGTGCCGTCAGGAACAGGTTTTCTGTTGGGACTTCCTTCGAACTCGCAATTTTGTACCAATTACAAAAGCCGCTAGGAATATCTTTGGTGAAGAGGGTTATTCGAATTTTCTTTTTGTATCAAATACAAGTGCCGTCTGGAATAATCAGGCCGCTGAGATTTATTATAATTTTCTCTTTTTTTACCAAATATAATCGCCGTCTGGGAATAAGTTATCTACTGAGGGTTATTCTAAGTTTCTCTTTTGTACGAAATACAAGTGCCGTCTGGAATGTACTGCAGGTAAAAAATTTTGGGCTTTTTTTTCAAAAATGTATTACTGGTAATTTTACTATAAAAATCTATTTTATACTTTCATAGTATTTGGCGGGGGGGTACTATTTGTCCATAGCTGGGACCCTAATCGTTGCTACCCTCCCCGGTCAGCAATTAAGAGGTGGTTTCACGCTTCACAAAACCTGCTGATCAAAGGCCTTGCTGCCGGATCTAGTTTATCGTCATATCCAGTATACCTCATTTTACCCCTCTGCAGAGGTGCAGCCGACAGGGCACAGGGAGGAGTGAAGGGAAAAAAAAAACAAGGAAAGTAGGAAGCGGGTAGAAAAGAGCATTTGAAGGAGGAGGAGAAGTAGGTGGCAAGGAAGCAGAAAAAAAAAAGGTGAATGGAAAAAATAATTGTATATACATAGAGAGTGAGGAGGAGAGAGAGGGGGGAAAATATAGCAAGCTTTGTTGGTTGAATAATCAATTCAGGTACTCGGGTATTGGAAAGAATGGAAGATACAGGAAAAGGGTGTGAGATCAGAGTCAAGAGATGAAGGATTATTTTAGTTGTACAGAAAGGGACAAGGAAGATAATGTGAAGATACAGAAAAAGGATAAGAGAAGATCGGAAACATAAGATGATGGATTACTTTGTATAGAAAGGGATAAGGAAGAGAATGGGAAGATACAGAAAAAGGATAAGAGAAGATCGGAAACATAAGATGATGGATTATTTTGTATAGAAAGGGATAAAGGAAGAGAATGGGAAGATACAGAAAAGGATGAGAAGATCGGAAACATAAGATGATGGATTATTTTGTATAGAAAGGGATAAGGAAGAGAATGGGAAGATACAGAAAAGGATAAAGAAGATCGGAAACATAAGATGATGGATTATTTTGTATAGAAAGGGATAAGGAGAGAATGGGAAGATACAGAAAAAGGATAAGAGAAGATCGGAAACATAAGATGATGGATTATTTTTGTATAGAAAGGGATAAGGAAGAATGGGAAGATACAGAAAAAGGATAAGAGAAGATCGGAAACATAAGATGATGGATTATTTTGTATAGAAAGGGATAAGGAAGAGAATGGGAAGATACAGAAAAGGATAAAGAAGATCGGAAACATAAGATGATGGATTATTTTTGTATAGAAAGGGATAAGGAAGAGAATGGGAAGATACAGAAAAAGGATAAGAGAAGATCGGAAACATAAGATGATGGATTATTTTGTATAGAAAGGGATAAGGAAGAGAATGGGAAGATACAGAAAAAGGATAAGAGATCGGAAACATAAGATGATGGATTATTTTGTATAGAAAGGGATAAGGAAGAGAATGGGAAGATACAGAAAAAGGATAAGAGAAGATCGGAAACATAAGATGATGGATTATTTTGTATAGAAAAGGATTAGGAAGAGAATGGGAAGATACAGAAAAAGGATAAGAGAAGATCGGAAACATAAGATGATGGATTATTTTGTATAGAAAGAGATAAGGAGAGAATGGGAAGATACAGAAAAGGATAAGAGAAGATCGGAAACATAAGATGATGGATTATTTTGTATAGAAAGAGATAAGGAAGAGAATGGGAAGATACAGAAAAGGATAAGAGAAGATCGGAAACATAAGATGATGGATTATTTTGTATAGAAAGGGATAAGAAAGAATGGGAAGATACAGAAAAAGGATAAAGAAGATCGGAAACATAAGATGATGGATTATTTTGTATAGAAAGGGATAAGGAAGAGAATGGGAAGATACAGAAAAGGATAAGAGAAGATCGGAAACATAAGATGATGGATTATTTGTATAGAAAGGGATAAGGAAGAGAATGGGAAGATACAGAAAAGGATAAGAGAATCGGAAACATAAGATGATGGATTATTTTGTATAGAAAGGGATAAGGAAGAGAATGGGAAGATACAGAAAAAGGATAAAGAGAAGATCGGAAACATAAGATGATGGATTATTTTGTATAGAAAAGGATAAGGAAGAGAATGGGAAGATACAGAAAAAGGATAAGAGAAGATCGGAAACATAAGATGATGGATTATTTTGTATAGAAAGAGATAAGGAAGAGAATGGGAAGATACAGAAAAAGGATAAGAGAAGATCGGAAACATAAGATGATGGATTATTTTGTATAGAAAGAGATAAGGAAGAGAATGGGAAGATACAGAAAAAGGATAAGAGAAGATCGGAAACATAAGATGATGGATTTTTTGTATAGAAAGGGATAGGATAAGAGAATGGGAAGATACAGAAAAAGGATAAGAGAAGATCGGAAACATAAGATGATGGATTATTTTGTATAGAAAGGGATAAGGAAGAGAATGGGAAGATACAGAAAAAGGATAAGAGAAGATCGGAAACATAAGATGATGGATTATTTTGTATAGAAAGGGATAAGGAAGAGAATGGGAAGATACAGAAAAAGGATAAGAGAAGATCGGAAACATAAGATGATGGATTATTTTGTATAGAAAAGGATAAGGAAGAGAATGGGAAGATACAGAAAAAGGATAAGAGAAGATCGAAACATAAGATGATGGATTATTTTGTATAGAAAGAGATAAAGGAAGAGAATGGGAAGATACAGAAAAAGGATAAGAGAAGATCGGAAACATAAGATGATGGATTATTTTGTATAGAAAAGGATAAGGAAGAGAATGGGAAGATACAGAAAAAGGATAAAGATACAGAGGAAAAAGGATACAGAAAAAGATAAAGATCGGAAACATAAGATGATGGATTATTTTGTATAGAAAGGATAAGGAAGAGAATGGGAAGATACAGAAAAAGGATAAGAAGATCGGAAACATAAGATGATGGATTATTTTGTATAGAAAGGGATAAGGAAGAGAATGGGAAGATACAGAAAAAAGGATAAGAGAATGGAAGATCAGAAACATAAGATGATGGATTATTTTGTATAGAAAGAGATAAGGAAGAGAATGGGAAGATACAGAAAAGGATAAGAGAAGATCGGAAACATAAGATGATGGATTATTTTTTAGAAAGAGATAAGGAAGAGAATGGGAAGATACAGAAAAAGGATAAGAGAAGATCGGAAACATAAGATGATGGATTATTTTGTATAGAAAGAGATAAGGAAGAGAATGGGAAGATACAGAAAAAAGGATAAGAGAAGATCGGAAACATAAGATGATGGATTATTTTTATAGAAAGAGATAAGGAAGAGAATGGGAAGAACAGAAAAAGGATAAGAAGATCGGAAACATAAAGATGATGGATTATTTTGTATAGAAAGAGAAAAAGGATGGGAAGATACAGAAAAAGGATAAGAGAAGATCGGAAATAAGATGATGGATTATTTTTATAGAAAAGAGATAAGGAAGAGAATGGGAAGATACAGAAAAGGATAAGAAGATCGAAACACAGAAAGGGATAAGGAAGAGAATGGGAAGATACAGAAAAGGATAGAGAAGATCGGAAACATAAGATGATGGATTATTTTGTATAGAAAGGGATAAGGAAGAGAATGGGAAGATACAGAAAAGGATAAGAGAAGATCGGAAACATAAGATGATGGATTATTTTGTATAGAAAAGAGATAAGGAAGAGAATGGGAAGATACAGAAAAAGGATAAAGAAGAAGATCGAAACATAAGATGATGGATTATTTTGTATAGAAAGAGGATAAGGAAGAGAATGGGAAGATACAGAAAAGGATAAGAGAAGATCGGAAACATAAGATGATGGATTATTTTGTATAGAAAGAGATAAGGAAGAGAATGGGAAGATACAGAAAAAGGATAGAGAAGATCGGAAATATAAGATGATGGATTATTTTGTATAGAAAAGATAAGGAAGAGAATGGGAAGATACAGAAAAAGGATGGGAAGAGAAGATCGGAAACATAAGATGATGGATTATTTTTGTATAGAAAGGGATAAGGAAGAGAATGGGAAGATACAGAAAAGGATAAGAGAAGGGAAACATAAGATGATGGATTACAGAAAGGGATAAGGAAGAGAATGGGAAGAGAAAAAGGATAAGAGAAGATCGGAAACATAAGATGATGGATTATTTTGTATAGAAAGGGATAAGGAAGAGAATGGGAAGATACAGAAAAAGGATAAAGAAGATCGGAAACATAAGATGATGGATTATTTTGTATAGAAAGGGATAAGGAAGAGAATGGGAAGATACAGAAAAGGATAGAGAAGATCGAAACATAAGATGATGGATTATTTTGTATAGAAAAGGATAAGGAAGAGAATGGGAAGATACAGAAAAAGGATAAGAGAAGATCGGAAACATAAGATGATGGATTATTTTGTATAGAAAGGGATAAGGAAGAGAATGGGAAGATACAGAAAAAGGATAAGAGAAGATCGGAAACATAAGATGATGGATTATTTTTTTGTATAGAAAGGGATAAAGAAGAGAATGGAAGATACAGAAAAAAGGATAGAGAAGATCGGAAACATAAGATGATGGATTATTTTGTATAGAAAGGGATAAGGAAGAGAATGGGAAGATACAGAAAAAGGATAAAGAAGATCGGAAACATAAGATGATGGATTATTTTGTATAGAAAGGGATAAGGAAGAGAATGGGAAGAGAAAAGAAAGAGAAGATAAGATGATGGATTATGGGAGAGAATGGGAAGATACAGAAAAAGGATAAGAAGATCGGAAACATAAGATGATGGATTATTTTGTATAGAAAGGGATAAGGAAGAGAATGGGAAGATACAGAAAAAGGATAAGAAGACGGGAAACATAAGATGATGGATTATTTTGTATAGAAAGGGATAAAGGAAGAGAATGGGAAGATACAGAAAAGGATAAGAGAAGATCGGAAACATAAGATGATGGATTATTTTGTATATGAAAAGGTATAAGAAAAGAAATGGGAAGATACAGAAAAAGGATAAGAGAAGATCGGAAACATAAGATGATGGATTATTTTGTATAGAAAGGGATAAGGAAGAGAATGGGAAGATACAGAAAAAGGATAAGAGAAGATCGGAAAACATAAGATGATGGATTCTTTTAGTTTTATTCGAAGGAATAAGAAAAAGAATGAGCAAAGCGTAGAAAAATAGTAGTGGCAATGTAAAACTTCAGACACACACACACATTGGTTTACCCACTCAGTTGAGTGCCATACGTGATATAAACTTGGGAGATCACGTTTCTTTCGATACCTGACTGACTAGGCAGAAGATTTCCCCTCAGTAGATTGCCGTTTCTTTCTGCAGTAGATTGGTTGCCAGTCAAGGCTATAGGACCCAGTCTGTCCTGCTATTCAACCCATAACTGGAGGAGAATAGATGGATTCATAACTTTCTTCAGGGTATTTTTCATGTAAGTTAATGTAGCGAATGTGACTGGAATATATATTACACCACAACTCTCATCCAACTATTATTTTGATATATAAATTTGTATATCATATTTTCCGTAGATAGATAGATAGATAGATAGATAGATAGATAGATAGATAGATAGATAGATAGATAGATATGAACAGAATGAGAGAGATAGAGGTAATTATAACATCTACAGAATGCATGATTTGAAAGTCAGGTACCAGCAAATAGATTTCTGGGTGGTGGTGGTTATAGTAATAGAAGGAGGAGGTGGAGGAGCAAAGAAAAACGGGAGAGATAGGCAATGAATGTTACAGGATGGCAGAAAGAAAATAAAGGAGGAAAGATGAACGTGAAAGAAAGAGGTTCAGGAAGAAAATTTTGAATAAGAAGAAAACGTATAAAATCATTGTATTATTAAAAGAACTAATTATGGAATTTTATCGATAACTACGTTGATATTTCATCTTGTTCGTTTGAATAGCGTTCATCTTGTCAGCATATGTATAATCAGCCAATTATGGACGAATAGTAATGCGCATGCGCTCTTGGATCGCTAGTAAGGTTAATTGACATTGCCAGGGTTTAAATTAATAAATTGCAGGTTTTAAATCAATCGTATTGTATATTGGCATTTGGCATAATCATTTAGATGTACAGTGAGAACTTACGGACAAACTGTGACGAGCAGCGATACAAAATACTTCTGATAAATAGATAGATATCTTGAAATACTAAAGAGTAAATTTATCCAATAAAATCGCCATTGGCTTCAACCACGGCTTCCAGGCAATTTCAGAATCTCCTGCATCTCTTCTGGGCGATCTCTTTGTTGGTGAATGCTGCCATAATCCTTGTCTTCAGTTCATTTTTGGTGTTACAAAGAGTTTTGTTGGTCTCTCGCTCAACTGCGCCCCACAATTAATAATCAAGGGGGGTTGCAGTCTGGGGAGTTAGGTGACCAGATGTAAGGAGTGATGTGGTTTCAGAAATGACAGCCATGACTGTGTTCTCCTGCTTGTGTGACACGGTGCAGAGTCCTGTTGCTAGACATAGGGTCTTCCAGCAACCACTCTCTTGACCCAGGGTAGCACTACCTCTTCAAGGTAATTAATGTAGGCCTCAGTGTTGAGTCAGAGACCCTGTGGGAAGATGAATGGAGGCATAACGTCCCCATCACTAGTGATCACTCCAAATACCTTCGTAATCACCATTGGACAGGGTTATCAATCGGAATCCAATAGAATGATAAGATAACGAACAAATAGGAAACGTTTATCAGTCTAACATGTTTCGCTTTTATTAACGCTTCATCTGATGAATTTCTCTGATGAAGCTTTAATAAAAGTGAAACAATTTAGATTGATAAATCTTTCCTATTTGTTCGTTATCTTACACACATGCACACACACACACACACACACACACACACATATATATATATATATATATATATATATATATATATATATAGTCTGTTCTCATCTATCTATCTATATATCTATCTCAGTCTGTTCTAAACTATACATCTATTTCTCTATGAATATAAAATAGGTTACAGAATCCAGACACAATTTGAAGAATATGACAAATAGCAATCCGTTTACTTAAAACTACATTACGCGTTTCACCCTTCTAGGCTTCATCAGATCAATAACGTAAGAAAGAAATATGTGTGGGTGTATTTCTGTACTATTTAAACATAAACACATATTATGAAACAATTATTTTTAAGACATTTTTTATGTTTATGCGTTCGTTTAATAGATACAAATATTTAAGTAAATGCTCTATTTATAATAAACAGTATTAACAACATTTACCGACCTGAATGTCCGAGAAATTTTCAAAGAAAATATGCGTCTTCCGACAGGAATCGAACCTGTATCCTATACGGAACCGTCATATAGCCTGACGTGCTTTTACTGATTGAGCCACAGAGGAGTATTTCGGTTACCAAGGTAATTTAAAAACAGTAAAATCGACCGTGCTAACCGAAACGATCCTCTGTGGTTCAATCGGTAAAGCACGTCAGGCTATATGACGGTTCCGTATAGGATACAGGTTCGATTCCTGTCGGAGGACGCGAGTTTTCTATGAAATTTTGTCGGACATTAAAGCCGGTAAATGTTATATATACATATATAAGCATTTCACCCCAAGCAAGGCGGGAACCACTAACACGCAAGGAGTTACAGAGAGCGAAAGTAAGAGAAAAGAGGGATTTTTTTTTGAGGAAAGGATAACGAGAAGGATGGGGATTAAGGCATCAGAAAATGTCGATTAACATTACATTTAAAATTTTGAATATAGTTATCAGGGAAGCAAGTAAGAAGAAAGGAGTTCCACTGTCGGAAATTGCGAGAGAAGAAGCTGTTGGAGTAGAAGAGGCAGTTACATTTAACTGTTTCGACAGTAAAAGGGTGGGACCAATATGCCAACCTAGTAACACGCTTAAATTCATGCAGTTGGGCACCAGTGAAAATATCTCGGCAGAGCAGTTCCATGATAATATTTGTAGAAAAAAAAACAGAGGGAAGCCACATTTTGTCTGTGTGAAAGTGACTGGAGTTGAGACCCTAAGTCAGGAACGATCACATTACAAATCCGTCTTTGGATTTTGTCGAGAACCTTGTGATGAACACCGGGGGACAGCAGACCATATTAAATGTTAACAGTGTTCAATTAGTTTGAGATATTTGCTAAACATCACAAGATCATTTCCTTGTGTTCCGATTTGATTACAGACTATTTGAGTTTATGATTTGCCCAAAAGTGGACTGTGTTTTGTGTGCCTGTAAATGATTGTCAAATGGATTCTTTGTTTTGTTCACTTGTTTTGTTTTACACTGTTAATGTTTTCCTTCTCCGTGTATCCATTCCAAGAATGCAGCTCATTCGCACTCAGATGCTTTTGACTTAATTAAATAAAATAAAATAAAGTTAGAGATCGTTTTAAGACGTACTTGGGAAAAGGGGAGATAATTTAATTTTAGGCTTCAATCGACGTCGCTGTCATCCGTCATTTTCGCAAGTCGCATTTTAACCTTGTCACCAGTCATGCTTATTTGCTCTTTTCAACTCCGTCAACATAAGTGCATATCTCTATCTATAAAAGGCAGTGTGTGTGTGTGTGTGTGTGTGTGTGTGTGTGTGTGTGTGTGTGTGTGTGTGTGTGTGTGTAACGAATGCACGGCCGCAATTTTCGACGGATTTGCACCAAAATTTACATGCACATGCTCCAAGTTAGCGAAAAGACCAAGACCGACTTCGCATTTCCCAACTCCCATCGATAGTGGAAATAATCGATTTTTTCATGCTTCTACGGCAGTTTTCATGTAGTTTGTGGCCATTTTCTACTGACCAGAGTGAAAGCCACTAGCTGGCTGCCACGAATAGGCAGCGTGAGAGCCAACAACTGACTGACACGAATGTTAACTAGCATGCTAGCATGCAAAAAAAAATCGATAGCTGCATTCGGCACAAGTGAGAAAAATTTAAATCTGCATGGCACTTTAATCCAATTGGCTCATTCGCTTGCTTAAACTCAACGTTGATTCTGATTCTGCAGAACTGGGTTGGGTGTGAAAAAGTATTTGTTGTTAACATTCTTTTTTCATTCGGTTTTTTCAGTTACGAGTCATTTTTTAAAGCTGATCGTTTTGTGTTCATTTTGTTTAGTTCTTTTTTAGTAACAGATTTAATGTTTAGTATAGAGCTTAGAAAAGTGTGAGATAGGCAAGAAGTAAGGCATGTAGCAACATCAGCACGGCGAAGGGCACTCCTTTAAAAGCAAGGAAGGGCAAAACATATTTTAAGTCAAGTTATAGCGATTGCTGTATGAGTCGTACGATTTTTGAATCAAGCACGGGCAACGCCGGACCATGGTGCTAGTTTCAGAATAAAACATAATCTAATGCTTAACGGAATAGAATATACAAACCAATGCGCAACGATGGTTTGTATATTCTACGCGACTGAGATTTAGCGTCGTAGCTGACAACATTATGCCGTTCGCGCGGCAGTGAAGCAAAACTAACCTTCCATGACGACCGTTTATCTGACAGACGAGAACTCTCAATCATATTATCATACACTTTATGACCATTTTCAGTTTCATTGTAATGCAAATTAAAGGGCAGTAGTTGCATGTCGTGAAGGTGGCTTGCGGAAGCAAGTCGCGCCATTTTGAATCTGCATTCCGTCCAACTTTGATCTTCTAAAATTTAAATGCAATGTCAATCGTTATCTACTGTCTTCCTGATTACTCATTATTGTTCCAGCTCCTTCGTAATGTTTTCTGTTTTCTAATTCTTTCACGCCCATTATCTCCTTTGTGTCTTAGTGGCTTTACTACCTTGCTTGGGGTGAATTTGATTAAAAAACATATGGAAAAACGGTGGTATATAGCTGAGAGTTTAAACCTTTCTGTACGAGTTTGAATGCCATGAATGACATCCATATGATTTGGCAAGGCTCCAAATCCAAATCAAGGGCCTTCTCACTCTTGTTAGAGTCAGTGCCTCCCTGATGGATCATACCGTCAGGGGTGTAGTTGTACTCACCACGCTTGGTCAATTGTGGCTTGGTGAAGCTATTTAACCCATAGTTGGGGTTTTAAATTCAGAGTTGGCCTTCTAAACTAGACCAGTTTCCACTAAAGT